TTTTTTTTTTTTTTTTTTTTTTTTTTTTTTTTTTTTTTTTTTTTTTTTTTTCTTTTTTTGAGATGGAGTTTCATTCTTGTTGCCCAGGCTGGAGTCCAATGGTGCAATCTCTGCTCACTGAAAAGTCCACCTCCTGGATTCAAGCGATTCTCCTGCCTCAGCCTCCTGAATAGCTGGGATTTCAGTGCCATCACACTCAGTTAACTTTGTATTCAATAACCTTTTTTGAATGAATATTCTATGTAACAGCACTTCTATTTTTCCAAGAAAAGACTGAACAGGCTCTACCAGTTCAGATGAAATTAATCTTGAAAGACTGCCATTCAACGATACTGAGTTATAAGCTACCGTGTCTCTTTAATAATAATACTTTTTAATACTAAAGGACTTCTCTCTAATACTTCTAACATTCTTCAGCACAAGCTTAAAGAATTCCCCCTTTGACCTGGCTGCGTTTATTAACTTGTTTGTTGACCAACAGTGATATCTGGCAGAAACAGTAGAGATTAAGAATAAAAAGTTCCTATTCTCCAAATTCAAGAAAGGGAATAACTGTTTATTCTTTAGCCCTTGTTCCATAAACCATAAACGAGTAACCACAGAACCAGTTTTAAACCCCTCCTGATCAGACAGTAACTGCTGCTTTGCTCCAACAGCCATGCATCTGAAAGTCAGCCAATCTGTGACAACTTCTGCTTCTGCTAGTTCTCCAAACTCTAAACATCAAGGCTAACAGTGAGCCAATCCCTTAAACGTCCCTAGTTTTGGAAGTCTGTCAATCCCTGACATCCAAGCTTCTCAAAACCCTATATAACACTTGCTTTGTTTAGACAGAATGTGTTTTGTGTCATTCTCTTTTGCTTAGTAATACATTCAGCCTCATTGTTTCACATATGCAAGTGCTGATCTCTTCCTTAACATTTAAGGTTCCACTAAGTTAATTTTGAGGACTCTCAGTTGGTGGCTTTCTGTGGGGCTCCTGGAAAAACAAGTTGGAGCTGGTGCAGTGGCTTGTAGCTGTAGTCCAAGCTACTCATGAGGCTGAGGAAGGAGGCTCACTTGAGCCTAGGAGTTTGAGGCTGCAGTGAGCTATGGTCATGCCTGTGAATAGACAGCCACTGTACTCCAGTGATACTTTTTGGTACACAACTTTTTTTTTTTTTTAAGGGCTAGAGTTTTTTTTTTTTTTTTTTCCTAGGCTGGTTTCAAACTCCTGAGCTAAAGCAATCCTACTGCCTTGGCCTGCAAAATTGTTGAGATTACAGGTGTGAACAGCTGTGCCCAGTAGGTATATAATTTTGATTTCCCTCTGAATTCCCTGCTTGGGGAGTTGATATCAAAAACAATTTGTGTTCAGACTTGTTTCACTGGGCTTTCTTTGCTGAATTATTTTTTTTTATCTTAATGTTTTTAAGCAAATAGATTTTTTTAAAAATCGAGGTAAAACTCATCTAAAATTTGCTATCTGAATCATTTAAAGTGCGCTATTCAATGGTTTGGGGTACTATATAAATCTTTATACAAGGTAACTGAAATTTTTGGCTTAGAGGCATTCAATTTGGTAAATACTCTTACAAAAATCTGCTTATTCTTTTCATAATTTCTTTTTTTGGTAAAACTTTATTGACATATAGCTCAGATGACAAAGATCTTTTGGTATACAACTTTTTTTTTTTTTTTTTAGGACCATACAATTCACTCATTTCAAGTTTGCAATTCAATCGCTTATAGTATATTCATAGTACATGCAACCATCACCACAGTCAATTTTAGAATATTTGATCACATTCAAAAGAAACACATACCATTTACCTATTGCTCCCCAACCCCCTATTCTCTGCAGCCCTGACAACCACTATTCTACTTTCTGTCTACAGATTTGCCTATTCCAGACATTTAACGTACATGAAATAATATAATACATGGTCTTTTATGAATAACTTCTTTCACTTTGTATAATATATATTTTGAAGATTCATCTGTGTTGTAACATGTATAGCATTTCATTCATTTTAATGGCCAAATAACATTATATTGTGTGGATATACAACATTATAATGTTTATCCACTTCTCAGTTGGTAGTCATTTAGGCTGTTTCTATTTCTTGGCTGTTATGAATAATATAGATTTTAGTGTGGACATGTTTTCATCTCTCTTGGGTATATACATAGGACTAGCATTGCTAGATCATGGAGTAATGCTAAGTTTAACCATCTGGGGAAATACTAGACTGTTTTTCAATGTGGCCACATCATTTGGTTTCACCAGTAGGGTATGAGAGTTTCTCCACATCCTGGCACACACTTTTTACTGTCTTCCTTTTGATTCTAGCCATCCTAGTGGGTGTAAAGTGGTGTCTTACTGTTGTTTGCATTTTCCTGATAACTATTAAGAATCTTAAAGCCGGGCACAGTGGCTCACGTCTGTAATCCCACTTTGGGAGGCCAGGGCAGGCGGATCACGAGGTCAGGAGTTTGAGAATAGCCTGGTCTACATAGTGAAACCCTGTCTCTACTAAAAATACAAAAATCTAGCTGGGCGTGGTGCTTGTAATCCCAGCTACTTAGGAGGCTGAGGCAAGAGAATCGCTTGAACCTGGGAGGTGGAGGTTGCAGTGAGCTGACATTGCGCCATTGCACTCCAGCCAGGGTGACAGTGTGAGACTGTCTTCAAAAAAAAGAATAATTTCATGTGCTTATTTATTGGTCATTCGTACATATTCTTTGGAGAAATGTCTATTCAGATCCTTTTCCCATCTTTAAACTGAGTAATTTCTACTTTCTATAAGAGTTTAAAAGTATTCTAGAAGAAAGTCTCTTAGCAGATACATGATGTGCAAACATTTTCCCCCATTCTGTGGGCTGTCTTTCATTTTCTTGATAGTGTCCTTTGAAATATGAAAGTTTTAAATTTTGATGATGTCTGATTTATTTAGTTTTTCTTTTGCTGCTTAGGCTTTGGTGTTAACTAATAAAAGTCCACAGAGATTTACCCCTATGCTTTTTTTTGTAAGTTTATTAGCTTTAGCTGTTACCTTTAGGTGTTCATTTTGAGTTAGTTTGTGTATATGATGTAAAGTGGGGTTGTTAAGATAATTAACTGGAAGTTCATTAAACTGAGGCAGCTCCAACATTCTGGGTTCCTATATAAGCAAACCAAAACTCAACTCAGTATAAATGGTAAAACAAAACTGAAGCTTGATCAATCAAAAACTGCCAACTACCTTCTAATTAGAAACTTTCCAATGGAATGATCCAAAAAAGGTTACTTCTGTGCCACTTTACCCAATCAAATATTTACTTTGTTTGCTTCTGAGTTTACCCTATAAAAGCATTCCTCTGGCATTCCATTGGTGGAAACCTGAACTGCGTATGATCTGGTGCTGCCCAATTAATTATCACTATTTTCTCAAATAAGAAAAATTTAAGGCCGGGCGCGGTGGCTCAAGGCTGTAATCCCAGCACTTTGGGAGGCCGAGGCGGGTGGATCACGAGGTCAAGAGATCGAGACCATCCT